TTATAAAAAGTTATATATAATGTCTAAGCATGATTTGGTACCCATGTTTGATTCAAGAATAGAGAAGTGTAAGACATGCATGTTAACCAAAATCACAAGGAAACCACTTCCTAAAGTTGTTGAGAAAAATTCTTCATTGCTTGATTTAGTGCATAGTGACTTGTGTGATTTTCACAACACACCTTCCTTAGGGAAGGAATAAGAAATATTTGGTAACTTTTATTGATGATTTTTAAAGGTTTTGTTACATTTATTTGTTATTCTCAAAAGATGAAGCCCTTGACAAGTTTAAAATCTACAAAAGTGAAGTTTTGCAAACTAATGGAAAGATTAAAAAGTTAAGAACCGATAAAGGAAGTGAATTCTTTGACCCAAGTTATTTCCAATCTTTAGGTTTAGTACATAAAACGATTGTCGCATATACACTACAACAAAATGGAGTAGCCGAAAGGAAGAATAGGACACTAGAAGAAATGGTAAATTCTATGTTGTCATATTCAGGTTTAAGTGATGGATTTTGGGGTGAAGCCGTTTTAACGGCTTGTTACGTGTTAAATCGTGTTCCCGTGGAAGGGAAATATATTACCCAATATGAGCTATGGTACAAAAGGAAACCAAGCTTGAGTCATCACAAAATTTGGGGTTGTAGGGCAATTGTAAAAGTGCCGGAACCTAAACGTACAAAGTTAGGTGAAAGAGGAGTTGAATGAATTTTTATAGGATATGCGGATCATAGCAAATCCTATAGGTTCTATGTAAAAGAGCAAAATGACTTTTGGTCGGTTCACACCACCATTGAGTCAAGGGATGCATTGTTTGATGAAAATCAATTTTCTTCAATTCCTAGACCAAAAGATATAACTCCAAATACCAATGTTCAAAGTTTTTTTATTAAGTTGTCATTGATCAATAGGTGGATGACCAAACTCATTTAGAGGAGACATCTACATCATCATTGCAACCTAAGCTAGGAGAAGTAAGAGGGCAGGGAAAGAATGAAAAATCCTTTGGCCCGACTTTCATTTGTACTTAGTTGAAGGATCAAGGGATTCTATTTCGACACAATTTCCATAAATTTTTAATGTGGAAGATGATCCTTTGACCTTTTATGAGGCTATAAGGTCTCGTGATGCTCCATTTTGAAAGGAAGCTATTAATGATGAGATGGATCCATCATGGAAAACAATACTTAGGTATTAGCTAATTTACCACCAAAATGTAAACCAATATGATGCAAATGGATCTTCAAAAAGAAATTGAGGATAGATGGAGAAATTGAGGATAGATGGAATGGTTGAAAAGTTCAAAGCGCGGTTAGTGGCACAAGGCTTTACACAAAAGTCTGGTATTGATTATTTTGATACATATGCACCGACCTGTTGCTAAAATCTCAACTGTAAGGTTGTTGATTGCACTTGCGGAAATCCAAAATCTTGTGATCCATCAAATGGATGTCAAGACAGTGTTCTTGAATGGAGATCTAGAGGAAGAAGTTTACATGCGACAACTAGAAGGGTTTGTTGTGGAAGGTCAAGAAGGAAAAGTTTGCAAGTTGATTGAATCTTTGTATGGGCTAAAACAAGCACCTAAGCAATGGAATCAAAAATTTGATGAGGTTGTGTTGTCTAATGGTTTTAAGTTGAACAATTCAGACAAGTGTATTACAACAAATTTGATGACAACGGTCAATGTGCCATAATTTGTCTATATGTAGATGACATGCTGTTCTTTGGAACGGATTTAATTTGCCACAAGTTGAAATGACAAAGTGTTTCCTTAGTTCAAAGTTTTCCATGAAAGATATGGGAGGAGCGGATGTCATTTTGGGCATAGGGATAAAGAGGGAAAAAGAAAAGTTAATCTTGTCACAATCTCATTACATTGAGAAAGTGCTCAAGAAATTCAATGTGAGTGAAGACTCTACTTCTCTTTATTCAAAACCTATGGATCCTATTATAAAGTTGATACCTAATGAAGGTGATGCAGTTTCACAACTTGAATATGCTAAAGTAATAGGTTGTTTGATGTATGTCATGACAAGTACTAGACTAGATATTGCTTATGCAGTTGGTCAACTAAGCAGATACACTAGTAAGCCTAGTATGCTACATTGACAAGAAGTTAGATGCTTGTTGGCATGGGCGGAGCCAGGGGGGCTAGTGGAGGCCCTACCCCCCGTGGCCCAACTAGTGAAATATGTAATATATAGTATGGCCCCCTAGAATAACTAATAAATAGCTAATATTTGTCCTACATATCATGATGTTAGTGATAGCCTAATTGGTTTGTTGGAGTTTTTCGTGGTAACTTGGTGAGAGAGAGGTCTCGGGTTCGATTCCCTACTTTGAGCATTTTTTATTGCTTTTTTTTGGGTAACTTTATCGTTTCTTGGCCCCCATAGATTTTTATTCCTGGCTTCGCCCCTGCTTGTTGGAGTATTTGAAGAAAACCAAGGAGTTTGATTTGTCTTATAGTGGATATCCTTCGGCTGTGAAATGGTATTCGGATGCAAGTTGAATCTTTAACAAAGATCATTCCTCCACAAGTGGATGAGTTTTCCTATATAGGGGAGGTAACATTTCATGGGCTTCTAAGAAGAAAACTTGTATTGCGGACTCCATAATGACATCGGAGTTCATTAATTTGCATTCAGCTGGTAAAGGAGCCGAATGGTTAGAGGATCTCATGTTTGAGATTCCTTTGTTGCCAAAACCGATATTACCAATAGTGATACATTGTGATAACAATGTTACATTGACAAGGGCTTATAGCCAAGTTTATAATGGTAAGTCAAGGCACATTGGAGTACGGCATAGTTACATCCAAGGGCTTATCAAGGATAGTGTGATCACTATTGATTATGTTCGAACAAATCTTAATCTTGCCGATTGCTTAACAAAGACATTAGCAAGTGATGTTAATAGTAGGATGAGAATCGGTTTAGGATTGGAGCCCTGAAAAATTACAAATGAGGGAGCCTTAACTTAACGCCCAATAAGACGTTGGGTCTTAAATTCAATAAGATTAACTTTCTCGTTTGCTAATTGGAAACTTGATTAATCATCCAAGGTAAAGTTCCGGGTTTACTGTGAAGAATAAGAGGTTATTTAACTTAATTGAACTCCTGATATTATGCTTTGTCACGGGAGCATGTTTGAGATTCTACCTATAAAAGTACGAGGTTTAGCCGCTTCAAGAAGCTATTAGGGGCATAGCTTTGATTTACTTATGAATAGATATAGACACAAGGCTTAAGTGTCAAGTAAATATGTATTTAAGTAATTAATCTTGTGTGTGTAATATCTTCAAGTATCCAATATGTGTTTCTTATGGTTCAAATGTTATACGATACCGAATGCATACGGATTCTTAAACTGTATGTTACATGCACTAAGTGGGAGTTCAAGTCTTTGTACACTTTCATTTATGCATGAGATTGTTTTTGTGATGATGATGTTTTGCAATGAGTCAAGTTTAATACATACTCTAAGTGGGAGAGGATTGTTGAATTATTTAGAGTATTGGTGACAAATATTCATGTGTTTTGATTGAATTTCTTAGGTTAATGTGTTGAAATTCAATAAAATAAGTAAAAGAACAATTTGTATCTTGGTTTAGAGAAGTGTTCCTCCGCCCTGTCGTCAGCCCCATGGTGCACCCTACAGGGCGAGCCACCGTCTGGTAGGGCGGGTCTCTACCCGGTAGAGCGCGAGAGCAAAGGAAAATTAAGCGTTGTCATCGCCCGGTAGTGCCATCGCTGCCCGGCAGGGCGAGAGCCACCACCCGGTAGGGCGTGAGAACACCCAAGTTTTTTTGGGTTGCTTGATTTTTCTTGCTCGGCAGGGCGCGGGAGGCAATATTGATGGTTGTTCTTCAGTTATGCTTGGTTTATTGCTCTTGATATAAATATGAGAGTTCATATTGATGAAAAAAAAAAGTTATATTTCTCTATGGCATTTGCGACTTGGTCATGTTAATTATAAAAAGTTATATTTTATGTCTAAGCATGATTTGGTACCCATTTTTGATTCAAGAATAGAGAAGTATAAGACATGCATGTTAACCAAAATCACAAGGAAAAGTAACCCAATACATTATAGTGGGTGCAATTCTAGTGGGATCATTGAAAAATAACCTATTAGTCGATTAATAAACAAAAATCCCTTCAAGGATAAAATGGCAAACCTTTTATCCTCTCTTTGCAAGAACAATAATACGTTAAACAACCCCTAATCACTGGTGACTGGTGGCAGAACCGCGGAATTCTCTCGCTCAAGGAGAAAGTCAGAAAGAACTAGTGTGAGATTATTTTAGCCGACAGTAGAGGCAGAAGAATGAAGTTAATAATTGTTGAAAACAATTAAGGCTCAGCCACATTTATAGTACAATTATTCATGAGATCGTGACAATAAGGATTTCTATTTAAAGTCAGGTCAAGTCATTATCGTTCCCATATTCCATCTTCAAATTTGAGGCTCAGCAGTGCACATTTATTGTACAATTATTCGTCAGATCGTGACAATAAGGGTTTCTATTTAAAGTCAAGTCAAATCATTATCGTTCCCATACTCCATCTTTAAATTTAAGGCTCAACGGTGCACATTTATTTTACAATTATTCGTGAGACTGTGGCAATAAGTCAATAAGGATTCCTATTTAAAATCAAGTCAAGTCATTGTCGTTCCCATACTCCATCTTTTAATTTTACTATAAAGTGTTAAACATCATATGCTTTTTTTTTTTAAAAAAAAGAAAAAGAATACTCAAAAGAAAGAAAACTGTAGGCCAATCCACTAAGATATTTCCAATTTCCCAATAAAAGGTATGCCATTTGTATGCTTTTATGGGTTCACTCGGTCAAGGGGCATAGAGTTACTCGGTCATGGGTGTTACTCGAGTGGTTACTTGGTCATGGGTTACTCGAGTTACTCGGTCATGGGTTACTCGAATTACTCGAGTAGGGGTTACTTGAGTGATTCGGTCATGGGTTACTTAAAGAGTTCTTCCTTTTTTTTTTTTTTTTTTTTTTTTTTTAACTACAAACTTAAGGAGTTTAGTTAGGTTGTTGTTGTTTATTTTACCATTTTTAGATTCTATATAGCATAATCCTATACATTATAGTGGCTACAATTCTAGGGGGAGCATTGTAAAAGTAACCTATTAGTCGATTAATAAACAAAAATCCCTTCAAGGATAAAATGGTAATCTAGTTGAATTTAAAAAAGCAGCAAGTAAGCCGTTACTTACACCACCAAAATTCGACCGTTAGTCACATTTAAAAACTCCAAACTTCATATTACCGTTGCAAAACCCGCTCCATCTCTCTACACCCTTTTCTCTATTCTTTAACTAAGATCTCAACAATTCTCCCCCAAATTAAACCTCAAACAACCATTCTCTCTTTCTCTGTTTCGCTCTCGAATATCGGAATAGCGGATCAAACAACAAAATACCAGTAATGGATTCAAAACCCCAGCATCCACTTGACCAAATAGCACAAACCCCAACTCACAAACTCCTCCTAAAGCAGTGGCTGAAAGAGCAAGACCTAATACTCGGTCGAATCTCCCTAAAAGAGTCCCAAATCGACGGTGTCCGTAAAGAGATGACCAACCTCTACACCATCTTCTTCCTCTTCCACTCACTCTCACTGCTTCTACTATTCAACACTTCTTTTAGCAACATTACCTCTGCTTGTAAGAAATCGTGGGTGCCGTCTCTCTGCTCATTGGTGTTCTCGATGTCAGTGATCTGGGCTGTCCGATATAAGACCGATGTGGAGGGGCATCTGGAGAAGCTTCTGGAGAGGGAGAAGGAGGACTGGAAATTGCTTGGGAAATGTGTTGAAAAGTTGAAGAGAAAAGGGATTGAATTTGATTTGTTGAAGGAGGTTGATGCGCTTCGAAGGGCCAAGAGTATGAGGATCGAAGCTAAAGCTGTGAGGAAATGGTCTGCTAGAGATTTCGTTTCGCTTTTCTTCTTCTTTCTTTCTTGTCTTGCTGTTGCTCTTACTAGGGTAATCTTATGTAATTAGAATCGAAATCTGTTTTCTTTTATTTTGAGGGGTTTTCATTTTATTTTTCCTTTAATTGGTTTTGGGGATAGATATGGAGTAACAGATTAAGTGCAGAATACTCTGTTCTGCTTTTTGTAATTTGGTAAACCCATAATTTATGGTTATAACAATAACATCATTCATTACTCATTGTTAAGACTAGTAACTCATTACTCCTATTCTACCAATTTTGAATATCTTGATGATTGTAGTCTAGTAACTCATTTATTTTTCGGGCGGGTTTGGACCGGGCTATTATTGATCACCTCTAATTGTATACTTGGGCAAATATAAACAGATGGGTAAAAAAAATTGTTGAATGATCTCAAATTTTGGCAATTTGGAAATTGAATGTGAAGAATATAAAGTGAAATGTGTGTTGTTAGAATCTTACTTTTTTTTTTTAAGGAAAATGTTAGTATCTTACTTTGGTTGTGCATAGTACTCGTGATGACTGATTATATCAAGTGTAATGCACGCCTATGTTTTTTGTAAAAGCACATTCAACTTAATGCATATTGGGAGGTAAGAACTACAACATTAAAGCATACTAAGTACGATTTAGGGTAAAATTAGGTTTGTTAGCCCGGGCGCTGCCCCAAGTGTTTGGCATATATGATTTTCGTCAAAAAAAAGATATTCAATAAAAACCAATTTTATGTTACGAAATTTGGTTGACCGTAATATAAACTTGGAGGGTAAAAGCTGTAAAACCATTCTCCGGTTACATTAGAAAGTAAAAGTATGAAAATAATAATCTTTATTGGGGTATCATAAATTTTTGAATATTCTATTGTCAAAATGCAAAAGAGTTAGTTTCCATTCACATATATGATGAGTTTGCTTATTATATTTTTGGGAACGTTAAAGCTTTAAAGGTCTTATATTTTCGTGTTTTTTTTTTATATTCGTTTGTATGCTTTAAAATAATCAATGAAACAATTAGAAAAATTGTTAAATTTTCTTTTCTTGATTACATTGCTAATAGATGTAATACGGAAAAAGATATATAACACTAAACTCGTGCTTATATTTTCGTTGATCATTGCGACTTTTAACAAGTTTCATATAAGAATCTCAACAAAGAGTTGGGTAAGCAAACTACTTGTAAACATAATAAAAAGCAAAATACAGTTGATGATACATTACTTGTAAAGTTGTAAAACAATTTCTACAACCAAATATCATAGATATGTTGCAACCAAAGAAGCAATAGATGCAAATGCATTTTTAAAAGACGCAATAATACTGAAAATGAAATGCGGCTTGGCGACTATTCATGGTGTGATTTATATAGAGAGTCAACTTTACTAATGAATAATGATCATACCATTTCAGTGACAAAACTGTTGAATGATTGATCTCAACCAAGTTTTCCCAATTTGGAAATTCAATAAAATTGAATATTATTATTATTTCTAATTTGGCACTTAAAAAATGGCTGCTAGACAAAGAAGAAAAAGACTCACTAAACAAGAATAATCAAAAAGTTGAGTTCAGCAAAGACCAAATCAAGCTAAGAGAATTATCTTTGGCTAGAGTACAATGATTTTCACCAGGGTTTTAGTGTTAGAAGGGGGAAGGTTAGGCCAGGTCGTGATGGTCTTGGAAGCACTAGTTGAAATCATCTCAATGAATAAATTATTAATTTTCAATTGTTAGAATGTAATATATACTATTGATAATTAAAGATATATACGTGCCCAAAAGAATTAGAACAAATATTAAAAAAGAGATACAAAATAGTACAAATTTCAAATGACCCGATTATCACCCTCTACTCGTAGGCCCTATAGAGACGGTTAAAACTTAAGGGTCACCTTAATTTTAGTTTTGTTTAGCTCCAATCAATTCAGTTCATAATTTCCCTCTGTTACAAACAATTCATTTCATTTCAATTCAGTTTAATTCAGCGTCAATCAGTTCAGTTTAGTTAAGAGATTTTCAATAAATCGGAACGGACCGTTAACAAAACAAAAGGCTTATAGGCTGACTTCACCATTCTCCTCTTGCTTCTAAGTTCTAACAGAGTAACAGTACCCACCTCTTAAACAACTTGGTCATTCAGCCGTCAAAATTAAAAAAAATTACAAATTACTGACAAATTCCCGGCATACAAATTTCTGCTGCTTCATCTTCCTATTACTTCCCTACTAAATAAACCAAGATTCCATTTCATTCTTCTCAATTTCTCTCTCCTTCTTCAATTCTCAGTTGTGATCTTCCCCATTTTGCATTCAATTTTACTACTATGCTATAACTGCTTTTTGTTGCAATTTTCTGGGTTTTATTTGATCAGATGTAAGTGTTTTTTTGCTGGGGTTTTTTCATCAAAATCCCAAGAACGTAGAAGATGAGAGGTTCAATTGCCTCATCCCCAAAAGCCCCGGAAGCCCGTCATCGTGTTTCTGCTTCAGTGTTCGTCTTCTTTTCTCTCTAACTTTGTGCTTTGCTCTTAGAGTAGTATGATTTTCGTTGTGTATTATTTGTCGGTGGAATTTGCCATTGTTTGATCATCGACTATAAGTTTAATTTTTGCTGTGTTTAACTTTAATGGGTATTTCATTGTTTTTGTGGGTTCTAACAATGCTCATTTTTGTGGGTTTTTTTTTGCTGTGAAGAATGCTATGCTTTTGTATAGTTTGATGTTGATTCAATTGGCATTTTGATTTTCATGGTTTCGGCTTATTGGGTTTTTGAATAATTTACAATGTATATGAATGTTATATGATAATGGGGCTAGTCATTGAACCTAGTTCATCAAGGGTAGATTGTATTTTAGGGATATTTTAAGAGATTTTAGGCTTGGCCTTGAAAGGTAGGCAAATGTGGAGAGTGGAGGGGAATGTGTGTGCAGAGGGATGTTGACTTCCCCATTTAGGCTCCTAACCTAGCTATTTGGTGAAGGGTTGCTAAGTTATTAAGACTCAAATACTCTTGTTGGGTATAGGTAAGTGCTCCCATGTTTGACTCGGCTATTTTCTGAAAGAAATCCATGGTTTTGGACTAAAATGAAGGTTTGGAGAATCCATATCCAAGTCGGAGTGTTGAGGATTTGACACGGGTACTTGAGGTGCAATGAACTAGTGAAGAGTCCAAGTAACATAGGTATTGAGTATGGGGATGATGTAGTACTTATGCTGAACAAAACGAAGCAGTCATTTATATTTCTTGTATTTAGTAGGGTGAGCTGCTCTACTTCTTGTGACTGTGCATGTGAGTCAGTGTGTGTGTGTTTTAGGTGGGGGTGAAGAATTGGGAAATAGGGAGAGAAGCTGCAATTAGTCATATATGATGTTTAATAGTATAAAATACGACCCAGTAATAGTATATAAATGCTTTCCGATCATTGTCAAATTATTGGTAACTTTTGGAGCTAGTTTAACTTTACTTTTAGCTCCAAAACAATGTGGTGTAGGAGCTAGTATACTTTTCATAATGTCGGCAATAAAGTGTAGGATAACTAAGATTCATTGAACCAGTATTTTATAGAGTAGTAATACTATATAAATTATAATCATTTCTCTTACATTTTTGTTAAAGTTGTTGGTATAGATACAAAAAGAAAATCTGATATTTTGGATCTCACGTTTATCTTCTTTGATTACACATGTTAGCGGCCTTATTGTCTTATTCCTTACATTCTGATCCTCAGTATAAGGGAATGTGAGCACTGTTAGTAAAATTGGATTTAAGTCATTTAACAATGCCATTTGCCAGTCTAGATAGTTTGCTTGTTAATGTTTCTCTGTCTCTTTGATTTCTTTCAGCGAAGAGTCCAGCAAAAGAAGGTCTCTAAGACACAGAGATAGTAAAGATGTAGAAAAGGCATCACATACTTTCTTCCAAGATAGAAGTTATTACTGCAAGTTTACCCCAATAAAGTTCATCCTGATTGTCATTTTGTTTGTAATGTTTTTGACACTTCTTCACTCGCCATCCCTTCAGCATACAGAAAATATATCGAAATCCAATTCTCAGTAAGCTTCATCTATTTCACTGTTCATTGCGCTATTCCTGTGGTTTTAGTTCAATTTATGTCAATCAAATTAATTCAAAGCTTTAACTTTCCTGCTATATTTTGCATTATCTGAATCAGTGACCACTTCTGCCGGTTTCTTCTTTTGAATTCACTTATTTCCTGTGTGTTTTTCCCCCCCTGAATTTTATAGTAGTGACTATCATTTTTCCTATGCAATTTGCTTAATACGGATTTTTTTATGAATGCAGGATGAGCATTGTAGATAGGTGGAGAGGGGATACTCATGTTGACAAGCGCTATGTATCTGATCTAGCTATTGATTGGAATCACATCTCCGAAGTCTTGGAAACTCTTAATGATAAGAATGACTATAAGGCTATAGGCCTGTTAAATTTCAAGGAAAGCGAAGTTGATAGTTGGCAGGAAATGTTACCTTCTCCTGAGCATATGATTTTGCATCTGGACCATGTTCCTAAAAGTTTGACCTGGGAAACGCTATATCCTGAGTGGATTGATGAGGAAGAAGACTTTGAGATACCTAGTTGTCCTTCTCTTCCCAGTATTCAGGCTCCTAGAAATGCACGTATGGATCTTATTGCTGTGAAGTTGCCTTGCAACAAGCTAGGAAAATGGTGGAGAGATGTTGCACGGCTGCACTTACAGCTTGCTGCAGCAAAACTTGCTGCTTCTGCTAAGGGGTCATATGATCTGCATATACTGTTGATTTCTAATTGCTTTCCTATCCCAAATCTCTTCCCCTGTAAGGAACTTGTGTCACGTGCTGGGAATGCATGGCTGTACAAGCCCAATCTCAATACCCTAAGAGAAAAGATTCAGCTTCCTGTTGGATCATGTGAACTTGCCCTCCCTCTCAATCCAAAAGGTATTATGTCTTTGTAGATGTTATTCTATTGATGCAAGTCTGTCTTTTGTATTTTTAAAATCTAAATATAAATATTCGTTGTGCTGAAATGTTTGGTTTTAACTCTGGATGTGTATGTGGTTCTATTTGAATTTATGATGTGGCATTAGTATGAGGTAATCTTAGACTCGTAGCTACATGGCTTATATTTAGTTCAGCCTACAAGAGTCATCAACTATTGCACCAGAACACCACTCAATTTGGTGAGGACGCTGTCAGTCCTTGTTGGCCCACTTTAGCATGTGCACAAGGTGTGTGGAAGGGTGCATGCTGTTAAACAATAAATTGCTTTGTGATTAAATTTCATACTGGTAATTATTTTTTTTCCTGTGCTGGACATAACTTTAACACAGACACACATATGTATCGCTCTGATGAATGAGAAAGAATAGCGAATTAGCCAGGATATTTATAAAAGGTCAGTTAGACTTATACTTAAGTACCTGCAATGCCATATTGATAAATGTATTTCATTGACTGAGGTGATATAAATTTCTTAATATGATTTTTGAATTTTGAAAGAAACATTCTATTGGGAGATTCGGGACAAATATTGAAATAGAAAAAAAAAAAAAATGCTGGCTCTGGAAAGTGTGCAAAGTGCAATTTTTCCCCGGCAATTCATTTCCTGTCATTTTATCATTTATTTGATTTAAAATTTTGCATACAATTATGTAAAGCTGGGTTTTTGTAATGAAAAATTATTAAATTTTTTTCACAATTCTTAATTATGACCAAATAAAATTATGCAAGGAGAAACCAATGATTTTTTCCCCTTTACTTTGGGAGGGTGAGGGGGTTGAATCCTTCAGATCTAACCGAAAAAGATGGAAATTTTTGGCTTTAGAATAAGATGTCCAAATTTCCATGGATGATAGTCATGTACTATTTTAGCTTGTTTTTATGCCTTTCCTTTTAAGGAGTACCAATAGTTTATTATTAAATGCACTTTCCTTCATCCCTGAATTACCTGTAATAATGGTGTCATTATATTGTATACTTTAATTTTCAACATCCTAGTATGGTTGTACACATGACCAAGTGTTCTGTATGCTGCATGATATTTACTAACGTTTAAAATTTTAACTTGAACTTTTATATCAGCCTATCTATCTTCTGGAACTGCACATCGAGAAGCATATGCTACTATCCTTCATTCAGCACATGTATATGTATGTGGAGCCATTGCAGCAGCGCAAAGCATTAGAATGTCCGGTTCAACCCGTGATTTAGTCATACTTGTTGATGACACTATTAGTGATTATCACCGAGGTGGTCTTGAGGCTGCAGGTTGGAAAATTCATACCATCCAAAGAATCAGGAACCCTAAAGCTGAACCAGAAGCCTATAATGAGTGGAACTACAGCAAATTCCGTCTCTGGCAGCTAACTGATTATGACAAGATCATTTTCATAGATGCAGACCTTCTTATACTCCGAAATCTCGACTTCCTATTTGGGTTGCCAGAGATTTCTGCCATAGGGAACAATGCTACTCTTTTCAACTCTGGGGTTATGGTAATTGAGCCATCTAATTGTACATTTCAATTACTAATGGACCACATTAATGAGATTGAATCATACAATGGTGGGGACCAAGGCTATTTGAATGAAATCTTCACGTGGTGGCATCGAATTCCCAAGCGAATGAATTTTTTGAAGCATTACTGGGAGGGTGACGAGCCTGAAAAGAAAGAAATGAAAACTCGGTTATTTGGTGCAGACCCACCAATACTTTATGTGATCCATTACCTAGGCTTGAAACCATGGTTGTGCTTTCGGGATTATGATTGCAACTGGAATAATGAATTGTTGCATGAGTTTGCCAGCGATATTGCACACAAAACTTGGTGGAAGGTGCATGATGCGATGCCTGAAAACTTGCATAAATACTGTTTGCTTAGGTCTAAGCAGAAGGCAGCATTGGAATGGGATAGATTGCAGGCTGAGAAAGCAAATTACACTGACGGCCACTGGAAGATAAAGATCAAGGATCCAAGATTGGAAACATGCTTTGAAAACTTCTGCTTTTGGGAAAGCATGTTGTGTCACTGGGGGGAGAAGAATTGGACCGACAATGCAACTACTTCATCTTCACCGGTGTCAGGGATTAAAACAGCATCTCTTCCCTCTTTGTAGTTTCAGGGTCCGATTTTTGTCCATAAGAAATATAGACTCAGAGATATAGCAAACATATACAACCTATTTTTCCTGTGAAAATTTTATAGAGTATGCTGAATATGCAGATTGCATTGCCGATTCAAACCCTCTGAAGTTTTAATCGCTAGTCGCCCAGGAGTCTGATTCAGCATTAGGCCTGTTTCAATCTGATAGATCTATGTCATGACTTGCTGCAAAACCTAGTTACATACTTACGTTTACATTACACTCCAATGTCTTGCAAGAATGCACATTATTATTGCACCTATGAAGGCTGTAATCTAATTTTCCTGTCATGGAAAATGAAGCTCACTTCCTAAAGAAAAAAAATTCAGCTTCTTGCCTTCTTGCATGAAATGCAAATCACTAGGAAACACCTTTCAGCTTAGCATCTCTATAGTATTTATTCAATCCGATGCAATAATTATCTACTTCAAACTCTTTAGCGTACCCCTTCACAAATGCTCATCAATTCCATGAACAAACTGCATGTAGTGTTTCGTTGGTGGCACCTCAGATTTTAGATTAAATTTTGTCTACATCATTGTTATTTTCTGACTTTTTTTCATAAAGGTAAAATTGTGACCATATAACGAATGAAGCCATGACCAACACTTAACTCAATTATACGGGATTATTTGATTTGGGCAAATCTTAGAATTTGTTTTCGAATTTGCTTTTAGGAATGAGGGGTTTAATATTCAGAAATGCTAAGAACTAAATGTTTGATGATGCACAATGGAATATGACAATTGATATCTAATATAGGTAATTGTTGAAGGATCTTTTATTATTTTGGTTTAGTTGATTAACATTTTCATTGATGGGAAACTTTAACTTAGTTTATTGATATTTCCTTTATCCGCTCCTTAAATTATGAGACGTGGTTGTATTTCCTATCCAAGTATCCATCGTGCATCATCAAAGGGTTCGATCTGAAAAGGGCAGTTGGTGGTGTTGACAAAATCAGAATGACTCTAAAGGACAATATTGTTCGTACGATCAATACTTAATCAACCTTTCTATTTCTTTATTTAACGCGATAATTACCTTAATATCAGTTTTTTTATTTTTTTTTATTTTTTTTTTCCCTTTTTCCTTCGCTTGATTGTTGATAAAAAATCTTGACCCAACACTATTAACCTACTCTAGTCTATAATTCCAATATGGGTCGAGCTAAGCCAACTAGCCACCATTAACGACCACACCACTTACCATATCAAATCACTCTTTGCTTATCGACTAAATCACACATATTTTCAAATTGTTACCCAACATCAAAAAAATGGATTTAATAACTTGGAATTTGAAACTTCCTTTAGTTTCCCCAATTAATTTGAACCGCCCAATCAATAGCAAAGAGAAGATAATCTTTCGATTTTGTAATTACCCTTTACAATTTAATCATCTTAGGAATAAGCCCTTTTCAATTTCAATCACACATGCAAAAAAGAAGAAGAATTTGCAGTTGGAATCACCAGTTCTTCAACCCAGCATTACTGAAAAAGTAATTGAAGTTGATGAAGACGAAGAATTTGAAGAAGATGATGACCTCTTAATTACTGATGATTTTGACGAAGGTATCTTATCTTATTATTATTTTTTTCTTTTAACAAATATTTCCTCAGTTTCACAATAGTTGCAACGTTTGTTTTTTCATGAATGAAGGCATTGATATTATTAATTGTGTATTAGTATTATGTATAAGAAAAATTTATATAGAAAGTATACATCTTTGGTGAACTTGAAATTTAGATTTTATGTTACCTTGATTATATGTTATGTAATTATGTTATTATATACTTCGTAATTTATTTTTATAACTAGCCAAATGGGCTAATGTTAAATGGGTTTTTCATTTTTTTGATATTTTGTAGAGGAATTCTTAGAAGATGATGGTGATGAGGGTTACTTTGAAGATGGTGATGAGGGTTACTTTGAAGAAGATTATGATACAGAGAATGCTGAAGCTTATGTAAGTTGTTCAGTTTAAATTAGAAGTATGAATTAGAGCTGCTTTGATTTAATTACCATTTGGCTGATTGAGCTTTGGTGGAAGGCTGGAGATGGTGCCGAAGGCGGTGGGATATCACTTGCTGGTACATGGTGGGATAAAGAAGCATTAGCAATTGCTGAAAATATTACTGACTCCTTTGATGGTGTTTTGGGAATATATGCCTTCAGAACTTTGCCAACCTCCAGGATTCAAGTTCGGATTGAGAAGCTGACTACCAAGTAATTACCTGATTATGTATATCTCTTGTTCCGCGAACCAAAATCCATGATTCATTTTGATTTCAGTAGTTAAAAAGATCTTGCTACATTTATCATAGAGTTTTCTTTATGCTCATGTATCTATGTGCTTGTTTGGTTGAAATTAAAAAGGCATGAAGTGGAAGTTCTTGGAAAAACATAAAACTTTAGAGTTGTTTGGCTGATAAAAACACATTAATGTCAGAAAATTTACTAATCTTAATATAGAGGAAGTTGATTTTTCCCTTAAAACTACTTGCTGAAAAGTTCAGTTTCCACGTCTAACCAAACAACAATTTATTTTGCTGGAAAATTGAATCACATGGTAAAAACTTCTTAGGAAGCTAGGAGGTAGAACTATATGTTCAACTAAACAACCACTATATCTAGTTTCATGAACTTGGTAGTTTTTTCTCTAGAAAACCCTTGTATTTGAAGTTGAGTGATGTAACCATACATTTTGTTCAAGATTTTTCAACAATTTTGATGATGAGCCTTACGTTCAAGATTGGCTGTATATTAGGCCAACACTAATATGACGAGAATCCTGTGACCTTCGACATTTTAACTTGAGAGCTGAGAATAATTTGAGTACTAGAAATTCCTTTACAATTTTCCAGGGATTTGAAATTATGGCTAATTTCAGTTTGCAAATTATTTGAAGCTTAAAGTAGTAGTAGTCTATCAATGTTAATGCCACTCCTTTTCTGATTATTCATATCCTTTTCACTGGCCTCTTGATCAAATGAGCTGGATAATTTTTCTCCATTGCCTCACTAGTGTTCCATGTTAATTTTTTAAAAATTGCAATATTACATAACTCTCTGGTAGCAAAGAGACAACGACTAAAGATCCAACCTAAGTTGAGGAAAATGGGTTTTGTGTGACAGATTTAATTTGGTGATGTGAAGAAGCATTAGATTCAGTAGAAGAATTTCTCGGTTATTTTTAGACATTGCATATTAATGTTTCATGCTTGTGTGGAGCTAAAGTTGTTAAGTATCCTTCCATAACCCGTACTCACATCATTGCATTGCCCTGTGAAAGATACCTCCACCTAAGAAATATCTTTCATGAATTAAAAAAAATCCAGAATTTGTTTCATTTAGGGGGCGTTTGGTTGGTGTATTTTTTGAATTGGAAACGGATTCGATTAAACCAATACCGTTACCATGTGTTTGGTTTGAAGGCATGGTAACAATTACCATTACCTAAGGGTAATGATTACCCTTATTTGTTACCTCTCAAAAACTTGTGGTAACAAATACCCTTACCCTCCTCTTAACAAATACCCTTTCTATGGTTAAACCAAACAAATGAAAAGGTAATATCTAAATGATTCCTTTTCCCCCTCTTATTTGTTTCCTTTCCACTCCGTATCCACTTTTCAAACCAAACGCCCCCTTATATGAAAGAAGAACAAACATAGACAAGAAATCTGTTCTCTTTCATATTTGTTTTTTCTAGTTTTTAGTTCAAGTCTATTATCTGAATTTTTTTATTGTAATGGGAAATTGTTATTATGAAGCTTGGAACCATGAGAAGTAACATCATGTCATTTTACAGGTATGGTTCTCCCAGCATATCTGATATTGAAGAATTCTCAACAGCCTATAGGACACGGCTAGATGAAGCAGAACTAGCTAAAACTGTGCCAGAGAATTTATCACTTGAGGTACTTGGTTTCTTCTTTTTGACTTGTAGAACTTTTCCAAACTAACTTGAGAGAACCCTTTTTTAGTGATAAACTGATAAATGAGATATGCCTAGACAAGCTAATTAATTATCTTTGTTTGCATGAGGATGTTTGTAATGTCTGCTTCTTGTGATCTTCTTGATTAATTTCTGTTTCTAGTATCTATATATCTATTCTGTAGTGTCATTGCATGCATAAAAATGCGGTGACCAGCAATGAAGGATAATTTTGCATCAACATCGACATTTATAGCAACCCAATGGTTTGTTGATGAAAAGATAGGATTGTCTCTAACCTCTACGATAACAAAGTGGATGTTTTTAATAGACCCTAAAGTTACAGCTATTTTATTGCTTTGCATATGATAAGAATGTGGACATGCCATTATGATAAGCAAAAAAATGTTTTCTGCTTTATTGGTAATGGACAAGTAACCAATACTGTCATTCACTTGTTTTAAAATTATTAAATTCCTTTTTAGGAGATGGTGTGTATGAGCGGGCACATCCTTAAGTAAACAACCAAATGGAAATGAAAAAGAGAGACTGTAATAGTTCAATCAACCTTGCCTTCCTCTTGTACTACTCTATGTCGATTCACTGATTTGTCAGTCTTTATTTTTGTGTAGAATTTTTTACATAGCCTCCTTGCTGCTGCTCTGAGATATTTTTCTGTCGCATTTCTTCCGCTGCACTTCTCAATCGCAGTTGCTCTTTGTCCTGAATTAATAGGCAAGAAGTTCAGCTGGTATAGGGCATTGTATGCCATCTCCGCTGGATTTTCTTTGGCATATTATTTTCAGATAATGTGCATCTAGGGTTTTCCAGAACATTCCTATTCTTTCTTACAGAGATCCCAAATTTTGCTGAGGTGTGTATCCCAATGTGGGTTGACGTTCCACACATGTCTCTTTGCCATTGCTTTGAGTATACTCCTTTTCTTAGGTCTTGTTGTCTTTAAGTAGCACCCACTTTGAGTTGTCATGAATCCATGATAGCTTTGATTGTTTGAACCTTTTAAATATGTCATATACCTCTGATCTATTGGCTAAAATCATCAATGAACAAGATAAAATGCTTGGTACTGTGAACTTGTGAAGAGATAGTGTTGTGAATTCGTGAATATCTGTGCGGAAAAGTTCTTGCTTTTAAAACGGTTCTCTTTAGGAAAAGGTCATATATGTCATTTTTGATATAGATACAGGGCAATCTGTTACCATATTATATTCCTGTGAAGTTCATTGAGGGCATTCCAATTTTAAGCGTTTATACAACCTGAGAGAATGTCTTTTGAAAGATTTATTACCATTTCTAGCCATTTGTGCTACGCTTAGGAATTTTGCATCATATTATGGAACTAATACTTCATTAATACTTTGTACTTTTTCCCATTTGAATGGAAACAATACCCTTGCCTGCTGAGTGCAAACTGTACAATAGCTCCATTTCCCATTCAAACTGGAATTTTGATGAGGTATACAGCTTGCAGAAGATATTAAAACTGTCTTTATTGTGTTTTATACCAAAAAAAATAAAATAAATTCTTGACAAAACAAATTTTTTCTGTTTAATTTTTTTTTTTTCTGCACTCCTGCTGAAAATGACCAACCACATACATTGTGGTTTTCTTTATGTTCACAGTCTTTCTCTGGCTAACTTGTTTTTTCCAGAGAATTGCATTAAGAAATGTACTGTATTGTGGCACTTTATCACTGTATTGAGTTTTATCAAATCCTTGATTTCTGACTGATTCTTGTACAATTTGATTGTTTGGCCTTTAATTTTATGTGCAAAGCAGTTTCAGAAGAGAGCTGTGTTCTCTTGGAACTTATGCTCATGTGTGAGGCTGTTAACAATGGTCCCATTAGCTTAATCATACTGAGTGTTATTAGGCCCTTTGAATTTCGAATCTACTGTTAGTGTGTTGAACTTCTGTTAAAGCTACTAAAGCTACTAAAGCTTATTGCATAATTTGATAAGATCAAATTGATCTTTTTTGGTTATTGATTGATGTTGAGGCCTTATTTTGATAAGATCAAATATTTAGTTTGGCCCTTAAATTCTTTTGAGCTCTATATCACTGTTGGTTTTATGGAGAAGAGTGGGAAGGAATTGAGAGAGGAGAATGAATGTATTTTCTAGTAATTGTATGCTTTCACACAAACAAAATTCAAATTATTGACCTCAATTATGTTACTGTACTAACTAGAATAAGGAGATATATTGAATGACAAACTTATACTGCTTGTTTTGTAGAGGATATATAAATTGTTTAAATTTATAGTCCTGATATAGGACTGGCTTCCCTGGGAAGTATGATAGTATCTTGGTTGAATACATCTTGTTCCTCTGTAGTTTAGGCCTCAGTTCATTATCCTACAAGCTGGTTTGGCTGATGTTGCTGTGAGCAATCATTCAATAACCTCTACATATGTTTCCTGTTTCTGGTATCTCTACTAAATTAAAGAACCATGAAGCACACAGGATTTTAGCCAGCTTTACTGAAATTCTGCAGTGAAATGGTAAGGCTGACGGTCCATTTGTATCTGTAACAAGTTCAGAGCATCAACCTTATGTCTTTTGAAAGACTTTCTGGCTTAGCCAGGGTTTTACTACTCTATTTATGCCGGTTACATACCCTTTGGCTTGTTTGCCATTAATGTAGGACTCAAACAAAGAAAATACTGTTGTGTTATCTATAGTCTACATATAATCAGTTTTAGAATGGCATTGAAGATCAAATACTGTTTCTATCATCAGTATTCTGTGGGATGCATGGAAGTAATCTGACAAAAGCATAAATCTGAAGTCATGAAGACCAAGCATAACCTTGCAAGGTCAGGTCATGATAAACTATTAACTCTTGTGGATTTTGGCTTATGTTCCACTATGTTACTCGGACTGTTAAAAGGGTTGGACTCAACTGTTTAATGATTTCTTTTTCCCTGATTTAGTTTAGTCCAAACTTAAGGGTTTATTGTTGATACATATATTAAAATGTAGAGGATTCGATGCAAGTTCTTGAGGTGAATTGAAGAGTCCAATCTTAATAAGAGTTCGGAGTGTGTTCATTGTGCCATGACGGTGTTATTTCAATTTAGGCACTCAGGCAGTCAACCTGTACTAATAAATTTTGTGATTGTTGAAGTGGACAAAATCATCATCGGGAGTGGTATTTTATTATTAAATCTGGCCTTTAGCGATTCAAGATGTTTGGACATTTTATGCCAACATTGCAACCTTTTAATTTTCTATTAGGTCTTGCCTCTGAATAACATCTTATGCGTCGAGACAAGTCTGAATTCTTGCATATGAAATCCTGGAGATTAGACTGTTCATTTTATCTTACTCATATCCTCTCTTTTTTTCCTTTTCCCCTGTAATCATCAATATTCTATTAGAAATTTAAAGCATGTGTTAATTAAGTCTTGCCATTGACAAACATTTAGGGAGCGTTTGCTATGGAATTATTAATATTGGAAATGGAGTGGAAAGGAAATAAATAAGGAGAAGGAAGTGAATCATTTAACCTTTAGTCCTTCACCTTTTCATTTGTTTGGTTTAACACATGGAAAGGAATTAGTTAAACTTAACTCTATTTTTGTTTGAGGAGGGTAAGGGTAATTGTTACCTTAACTTTTAGAGAGGTAACAAATAGGTGGAAACCATTACCCTTACACTATGTATGTATAACAATAGTGAAGGGATAGGGATGGGAAGGAAAAAGAGGGAAGGGAAAGGAAGGAGATGGCTGATGGGAGGGAGAAGGGAGCTTCCATTTTCATGGAGAGATTTGGGGGGGGGGGGGGGTTGGCAATCGACGGTTGGTTGTTGGTTTGTTTGACTAGCTAGAAGTAGTTGTATGGGTTGGCCTTTTAAGTTATTGTTTACAAAAGTGTTTGGTAAAATTATTAATGGTGGTTAGCTGTTTATTAGTGATAAAGTGGGCCAACAAGCCAAAAGCCAATAGAAAAAACTACTCTTATTAGCTTTTGGCGGAAAAGCTAGCTTAAAAGCCAACTACCAAACATATTTTTTGGCTGTTTGACCAAACTAAAAAGCCCAAAGCTAGGCAAAAAGCCAATTGTCAAACACCCCCTTGGTTTATTAATTGGGGAAGAAAAATGGATCATTTCAATTCCCTCCTCTTCCCTCCTTGCACTAGCTACCTAAATAAAGGACGATGTATCCTTCCTTTTCTCTTCCCTTCTTTCCATTTCTCTATATCCAAACAAGGCCCCGTTTAGTTTGATGTAAAATGTTTTCATGGAAAATGATTTTTCCATTTTTTTTTTTTTTCCATTTTCCTTTGTTTGGTTTGTTAAGGGGTGGAAAACAATTTTTCCAAGGATGGAAAATTCCACCTTAATGATGGAAAAATTTTCCTTCACAAAACACTCCTTACCTCTTTTTTTACTTCTCTCTCATTCATCCTTACATTTCTGCTCCTATTTTTTTTATTTTTCTTGAACTTTTCTTGTATGCAACCAAACAAAAGAAAACTAATTTGCAATTGTGCTTTTTTTTGAAGATATGTTTTCCATAAAAACTAATTTTCCATTGAAAATGTTTTACATTAAACCAAATGGAATCATAGTGTTAGGTAATTGGTAGTTGTTTTCCAAGGTTTCTAACCAAACATTTGGCAACAGTAATGGTTTAATTGAATCCGTTCCAAACCCTAAAAATACTCTTATCAAACATGCTCTTAGATTTTTCCTGCATTTCCAGCATCTTCCTGTGCAAAGTGGGATTTTACTGTTTGGAAGAAACCACTTGCCTCTGATCTGGGGCTCTTCAGATTATATTGCGATCTGTTTCATTCTTCATTTTGTGGGTCAGAATTGGATTGTAACTTATCTCATCATAATTTTGTTTGCTGCTATAATTTTGACTTTAAAAAGTCAATTATCTCTTTTTCATTTTATCTCGACCTTATCAAAATTAGCATAACATGTTCAATGTTTTTCTTTTTTGTCCTTTCAGGTGTCTTCTCCGGGTCTTGAGAGAGTCATTCGCATTCCACAAGAACTTGACAGGTTCAAAGAGAAGCCTATGTACGTCAGATATGTCACCGAGGCTGCTGATTCATCTTCCGAAAATGATGGTGTTTTCAGGCTTGTTTCATTTGATCTAGAAACAGAATGTTGCACCTGGGGTTTAGCTGATGTGAGGATTAATAGAGAAAAGGCAGGAAAAGGGAGACCGATGAGTAAAAAACAACGTGAATGGCGGGTGACAACTCCTTTTGACTCCATCCGTTTAGCTCGCGTCTACACTGAAATTTAATATGATTATATTATAGACATGTACTTTCGGTGCTGTTTATCGTCGTTGATCTAGAAGTTTTAAGAATTTAGGAGACCTGCAGCTTTCAGGATATTCTTTGGATAGCATCAAATAAATATTTTGACTTGGCAGAATCCATGTAATAGATATACATTGTCCATGCTGTTATAGTAAAGTATAAAAATGTTACTTAAATTTAGGGGATCTTGGTCCTTATTGTTCATCTGTAACTATAATTTGTACCTTCTTATAAATGACAGATTGTTTATTTTAAGCGCTCAAACTGTTATCGTACTATACAACTATGTTCTTCAGTGTTTCTGACAGCAAAAAGATACTCTTTTTTTTTTTTTTTTTTTCTAATTTTTCTCCTGATTTTTTTTTTTACTGAATTTCTTCAGTGAAGCTGACAATATGTAATCGTCGATACTGTAATCAGATTTAATTATGTCTACTGTATGTTTCTGTTTTATCAAGGATTAGAATTTTGCGAGTCTTATTGTTGTAATATGGCAGCTTAAATTCCTTAATATATATCAGATGAACTGCTGCTTATTGTTGTTTCTTTTGATTTGGTTTCGCTGCCATAGGATGGAATACAATAGCAAGACAGGACTCAGTAATGTTTTCTGCTGGAGTTTCTCCATTATCTGAACATGAATCTTGCAAGTAAGCCTCTTCTTCGGATTTTCTGCTGTTTTAACTTTCAACCTAGGATACATGGACACTTCAACTTAAATTACTCGGATTTTATATGCCAGAATTCGTACTTATTTGAAGGTACCCATGTTATCTCTCCACTACTCCCACATGAGTCCGGACATTTACAACTTTGATTTTAACTTAAAACTGATATTTTCCTAATTGAAATAGCCGAGTCTGACACTTGGACATATACTCATGTCTAACATGAGCTTGTCTAAAATGAATAACTTGTCTAAATAACTTGTCTAAAACGAATTAAATTCTCGTTTTTGTGCAAAAAATCCGATTATCACTTTTTTTTTTTTTTTACTACAAGTCTACAACTTCTATGTTCAAAGTCCAAAGTAAAATACAAATCAGACTCCCCTAACCTTCTAGATTACATGAACCTAAGCACAAATCATTCCACGAGAACAGAATCACTGCAACAATAACAGTTAAAAGTTGGAAAAAAAACATGTTATACTTTGGATTTTATCATCTTATCAAATCATCATTTTAAGAATTTCTGAAATATTTTCCCTAATTTTTTTTGAAGAAGTCAGAAAAGAGTGATGTTTAAGATATTTGCAATGACATTTCAGCATGCGTCACACAGTAGGAGGGGACCGTTACTGTTAGTATGCTTTTCAGTGCCTTTAATCATATCATAATGCAATGCAAGATTTACCATTGTTTGCCTCAAAGTTGCATTCGCATGCATTATTATTATTGTTATTTTCACATGATTATTAATCATACCCATCACATTATACGCCCTTCTAAATTGACCCTATACGGCTTAACGGCTCTACTACATCACCACATCATCCCCACCTATCATGTAATGGCCTTATGGCCGCCTGTTGGAGCTTACTATCATCATTTCTCGGCTCCTATTTAACCTTTATCCGAACTTATTATTATTATACACTCTTTGTTTTATTTATAAGCTAGAGTTAGATTTACACATTTGTTGAGATATAACTTTGATCATCAACAAATTTAATTAAAGGTTAGTAAAAATTAATTTATCAAGTAGACATTATGCCAAATCCTACAAAATATTATATGATCACATTTATATATCAGTAAAAAAAAAAAAAAAAAAAAGTCAATGATGACATATAAATAGTGAAAAATCCCAATTTTGGCTTATTAAAAAAACGGAGGGATTATTTTATTCCCATTTATTTATTTATTTTTAAGACTAATTTCTCGGAATTTCAGCTTAATTTAGCTTAACTTATTTAATTAAGTCCAATTTACTCAAGTCGACTCTATTAAGTTCAACTCATTTCTTTTTTTTTCTTTTTTTTTTTCTTTTTTTGACAAGAAGAAAAAGGGATTTCATTAATTAAATATCGCCAAACGGTACTTACATATAATTCTTAAGAAATCAAGAATTCCAACGCAAGTACACACCTTAAAACTAAATACATCTTATAATTGATTAACAATCGCCTTTATAAAAAGTTTCATTTGAAGCAAGCAATACAATCTGTGAGTTCGCACTGATTCGGTTTGAAATCCACGGATGCGTAGTCGCTTGAGTGAAAATATTCATGTGGTCCTCCGGATTCTTGTACTTGTAGAGAATATGAAACCTTACATCTTCAACTCTTACCATAAAAACATAAAAAGAAAATAAACTTAAGAGAAAAATCATCATCTCAAGTATGAGATCTTTTTTATTAAAAGCAATTTAAAGGTTTTTGGGGCTTACCACCGGCAAGAACACTAGTGGAGGCCCCTACAAAGATTCACAATTGAGATCAAGAGGAAAAGAGATGAAGAGAAAAGGGAAAGGAGTGAAGAAAAACCTTTAAAAGAATTGAAAAAAACCTAGCAATGGAGGTTAAGAAAACCTTCCCAAGGGAGAAACCCTATAAGGAACCAAAAAAACCCTCCCAAGGAGAAAACCTGGAGGGAACTAAGTTCAACTCATTTCAATTCAGCTTAAATTAGCTACATTTAGTTTAATTAGTGCAACTCCATAAACATTAGTTGGGTTCACTTAACTTCATTTAAGCTCCAAGTCAATCAAAAATTAGGCCTAGTTGTCACATCAAAAGTTTAAATTACTCTATGTCATTATTATTTTTATTTTTGGTTGCTTTACAATCATTTCATTTATTAGCATGAATATGTTTATTGAACTGTCATGTTACTTGTTAGTCAGAGTTTCAGTCAAAATGCAGCTCCTATTAAGTTCAACTATATCACTGTAGTCATAAAGATTGAAAGTGGAATCAATAAACAAACAATATAATATTCAAAATAAGCAATTCAATGATGATTTGGATTTGGAATACTTTATCACTGATGAATTGGAATTCAAAGTATACGATGATGTTATGTCACTTATGTGTGTATGTCAAATGATTTACCTAATGACTAATGAGTTTTAATCAACAAGAGTTGACTCAAGTGGTAAGCAACTTAATGTCGCTTAAGAGAGGTTTCGGGTTCGAGCCTCACTGTATTAGGCAAAATATAGCTGTAAGTTATTAGCAGTGGTGGCAAATGTTTGTACAAGTAACTACTAACTATCCACAAGTTGTTAGATGTGAAAATAAACAATTATAGTTTATTAATAGCTACTCTCACTACTAAAACCTACCCTAGCCACTATATTATCAAATGCTTAATTTTTTTATTCTAAATTAAATACAAACCTAAAAACTTCTTAGAAACTAGTGCCGAATATACCCTTAGCATTACATACTAAAGAATTTTCAATATAATGGAGATTATATGATATGATTGCAATTAGGCTCCCAAAAGTTGACCCCTATTTTGCTCTTCTTATATTAAGAATAATAAGTCAAATGTATTTAGTGCAAAGAAATAAGTTTAGAAATGACAAGTTATAAAAAGTTGATTTAGCTTGAATAAGTTGGAATATTACTTTTTTTTTTTTTTTTGGTCAAGGGAATATTACTTGTATCGCATATTTTAATTTATTCAATCTGTAATTTATTATCATGTCCTTGTAGTTGATGTAGACCACAATATCTAATAATTTAATAACTAATTAGATTTTTTTTTTTTCCAACTTTAAAATAGTGATAATTCATGGTAAAGTTGTGATTCTTTAACCAAAACATTCCAAAGAGAAACTTTAAATCAAATAGACAAAGAAAATAACTCGAAAACCAATCCAAAAGTTTTGGGTTTTGACACAGAAATTAAAGTTAGATGATAACGAGATAACTAATAACTTGCAAAGTATTCGAAGTTCATGATTCATAAAATAACCAAGTGGTGATGATTGTGTGCTACTGTTATTAGGCTAGGAGTGCATGGAGCTTTGGAATTAAAAAGTTATCTTCTCATTTCACCAAGCCTAAAGGTGTTTAATGGGGCTCTATGAATTTTTTTAATTTTTAAATTAACTTTTTATCTGAGTTTTGCAACTTTGCAATATTAAGCTAACTTTTAAGATAATAAAACATTCTATATATTGCATTAGCACGATATATAGTGATGTACGTAGTTACTAGATTAAGGATAGACATGGGTCATAGTCAGTGGCGGAGCCACATTAGAACAAGGGGGGACAGTTGTCCCCCCATTTTCGGAAAAAAAGTTTTTTTTAAAAAAAAAAAAAAAATCAAGAAAATACAGTAAAAGGCTATAAATAACATATACTTACAGTAGATATCACAATATTGAATATGGTTTGGTGGTTGAGTCCTTAGTAAGGCTGTGTTTTGGTCCTAGGTTCGATTCCCTACTCTACTGTTTTTCAGCTTTTTTGTTTTTTTTTTCCCCTACTTCTTGTTTTTTTTATTACATACTCTAATTTTCAACAACCTTTTTAATTTGATTTTTTATTTCCTATTTCTTGTTTTAGGATTTTTAATGTTATTTCTTATTTCCTACTTCTTGTTTTTAATTATCGCTTTAACTAAGTGTGCTTAAACTCAATTTTTTTTTTACATTTCTAATAAATAGATTACTATTAATTAATTGTTTGTAACTGTGTTTTAACGAAATACATATTAATAATATGATTGATTTGAAAAAGTTGAGTTTATTTTTTCGAATGTAACTCAAACCCTGGCCCTTCATATCTACCATCAATTTGTTTTAACGATAATTATTTGACTTTTTATTTATCAATTATGTGATTACATAACAGGATTTACAAATATAAATTTATTCATTTTTGTTGGATAATTTTCTTAATATACAATAAAACTTTTTTACCCCTCTTTTTCCATATAGAAAAAATTGGCATATGTGATTTCAAATAAATATTAAACAATTTAGGTTATCAATTTTTTTCTTGAGATTTTTGCCGAAACTTTAACCTCCAAAATTTGTCCCCCCGAATTATAAATCCTGGCTCCGCCACTGGTCATAGTCACACTATACCTCATGTCAAGCTTGCATGCAAGTTGCCTAGCGCATAGCTAGACCCGACCCAAGTTGAGCTTACTAAGTTGCTAGTTATATATCATACTGGATTTTTCTAAAGGAAGGTCTAGACACGACCTAAGCTCATGTCAAACTAATTTAACTTTTTAAAAGTAATTTATAGACTTTTGTCATGTCTACGTGTTTTTCCAAATGAGCCTATAACAACTACAGAGTATGTCTTATGTTGAGATCAAACCTAATGCGATTTTTACTGACTTTGATAGGAAATTGATTTATTTTATTATTTGGTCTAAATAAGTCACAAGGGCAACACAGATTAGAAGGGGGGGGGGGTGTTGAGGAAATTTGAACATTTGAGATATGACTACATTGGAATTTTGTAATTAGTCTTTGTAGCTCTAGTCTCTATCAACGTAATCTCTTATTTGTTGTTTAACTTGGAAGAATGCTTTGGGTGAAAGTTTAAAGTGTATTAGAGAAAATAAACATTGTAAGACCTAAAATGAGATATTTGCATTGGAATAGCCTTGTAATCATTACACATATTATATGCACATATTTATTGAAAGCCCTAATTGTCCAGTAAATGTGTTTAGTTTTCCTCCCAAATATGAGGTTCTTACATTAATTAATATGGAGTACTTTGTTTTCTTCTAAACTTTATTAGTGTTTCTTACCATTTGGACTTCTACATACATTATATACACCCATTCTTCTTTAATCATATATTGTGATTTATACATACATAATGAACTAATTATGAAAGATCATGTTTATAAAATTTGACTAAAAGAGAATTACAAATATTCATGGTCAAAGTTTTGCATTGATATAAAATAAAACAACTTTATTGAAAAAAAAATTAGAGAAAGCACGTGTTAACCTAATTAATTGCTCATTTTGTGAGCCCTCGATTTGTTATGTCTCCCATCCAATCTTCCCTGTCCCATTGGGCATGCCTTCTTGTACTGAAAGCATTTCTTTTGCAATGCCATATTGCCTTTAGAATTGGATAGATGTTACACTTCACCTACCAAGAAACATGAAAGTAGCTGCATTTTTGCACCAAGCTTATATCATGGAATATTCAACTTTTGTCTTATTCAATATAACTAGAATTATTTAAGGATGTTAATATAATAATGAATTCATCCTCATAAATGCCCTCCCGTACTTGATTTGATTCATCCATGTAATGTGATTTCAAGTTGGCTTCATATCAGGGCACTACCTTTTTTCAAACAAAAATAACAAATTGTTGTAATAATGTGAGTAATATTTCGTAACATATTATTTTACATTGTACAACTACTAGCTAAAAATTGATTTTACCAAACATATATAATTAATAGTTGACTAGTTGTACATACAACTAATTTGTCAATCTATTGAACAAATGACAATCAGTAACCAATTGGGAAATCGTCAAACAAAATTTTTGTGTCATTTTAAAAAAAAATTTACAGAATAACGTAGGATAATGATATAAAGAGAATACTGGTAAATTAAAATACCATCCCCAAATCCCCGAAAGAGTAATCAAGTGAGTCGAACTATTAGAAGTTGATTATGTTGTTTAACCGTATACCGCAATCCTTAGCTGTATTATTACAATGTTGGTCCAGACCCATATTAATAACCGTGGATGTCCACGCCAAATAAATATAAGCCACTACGCTTACTTTATAACTGGTCCAACTAATTACAGTAACTAGCAAGCATCTGATGGTACTCTATTATCTTTTCCAGACATCACTAACATAACAAGGCTAATTTTGAACCTCAAAATTACAGAAAATATGTCTAAATACTACTTATATTGTACATATTCCGTTGGGGTTTTCTACACCATACCCTTGTGGTTTTCGCTTTTCCTATGTATACTTCGTACATTTATAACTTTTTTTTTTTTTTTTTTTCATTCGGCTTGTCAAATAACATAACCACTAAACACTAATCGAGTTACCCTATAGCCTATAATACTGATCGAGTAACCCCTTCAATCTTGAGGAAGTAACCCCTATAACACTAACAAAGTAATCTCTATAGTGGCTAGTCACATATAAGAGCTTAAGTTTTTTTTTCCCCTACCCTTTATAAGGTTACTTGCAAAAAAAGTGTGGAAACTTCCTCCGTTACTTCATCCATCTTTGTTGTACGCTTGTACCCCTTCTTCCCTATACTTCTTATGTTTCAAAATATTCCGTATGATTGACACATTTCATTTAGGTGTATTTGCCGGAGCATACGGGTATTTCAAGATGAATTGTCAAACAAAACCTTTGTGTCAAATCACAAAATGAATTCCGCATCAAACTTAACTATACCTTGAGTATTTCAAATTTTATACTCCGTCCGTCCCTAAATTACATTCCTCTTTGGAAATTTACACGGGAATTAAGGAGAAAAGAATAAGACAAATAACAATAATTAGATAATGCAATGGAAAGTACAAAGATAGATTAGTTATTACTCATGACATGTCCTCAATCCTTTGCAAAAAAAAGGACCAATCACATGCTCCTAATTGAAAATTTTTAACCAATCATATTCATTGTAATTTCGCACAAGGATTATGAGTAAGATTAGGTAAAGATGAGTGAAAAGACATTAAATATAAAACAGAAAAAGAGAGTTGATTTACTAAAAAAAACTTACCAAAAATAGAAAGGAAGAATGTAATTTTGAAATACCAAAAATAGAAAGGAGGAATGTAATTTAGGACGGAGGGAGTACTACATACTAGTATGTTTAATCAATGTTAATAATCATGCTTATTTCGTCTCCATACATTTTATACAGCTCTTAAACTAATAATAAATGGTACTCTACTACTCTGTAAACTTTTAGATTCAACTTTTATCGGAGGGAAATTGGATAAAAAAATTAACGTTAAAATCAAATTCAAAAATATAAGAAAACCAATTCATCTACCCAATACCATTAATATAACAGCGAAGGTCACAGCTACCATACAACTACTTCTATCTTTTCCAGAAAAACACACCTTTCATTTAATGTAACATCAATTTTGTAAATTCCCTTAAACCCCAGATCTTTCTTATATAAACCCACCATTTTTAACATAAAAGATTAAACAATTTCAATCATTTTCAGATTTTTCACCACTCAAAAAAAGTGATTAAAAAAAAAAAAAAATTCTTTTTAGTGTGACTCAAATTTTTATCTATAAATACATTTCCAAAACTTTATCCATTCACTAAAATTTATATTTTCAAGAACTTCTGAGTAATATATAAAGAGGTAACGTGCATAAATATATATTTTAAAAAGAAAGTGAAAAAATTGAGTGTTTTTTAGGAGCAGAGTAAATATGAGCAAAAGGGTTTTATCCGGTGGTTTTTGTTGGTGGTTGACGGTGGTTTTGGTGGTTGTTGTTGGTGGTTTTGATTGCGTAACGGCGTACCCGAAAGAGGATCTTGTTGTAAATTTACCTGGACAACCAAAGGTTGATTTCAAGCAATTTGCTGGGTACATTGATGTTGATGTTAAAGCAGGAAGAAGCTTGTTTTATTATTTTGTTGAAGCTGAAAATAATACTCAACATACTCCTCTTAGTCTTTGGCTTAATGGAGGTATAATTATTTCTTATTATAATAATGTAGTTATATTGGTTTTCGCAATTTTTTGAATCTTACAGTGATGTACTTGCCAATGTGTTAGATTTCGTATGACTTTTTATTAATGAATTTTTGTCGGTTTTATTAAAAAAAAAAAAAAAAAGTTGTTCTTAGATTGTTTGAGTAGGGTATGTTACTTTGAGTTGGGTTGTTTGTATGTGCTTTTGTAATTAACCAAGGACAAATAAAAAAATAAAAAAAGTTTCTATTTTGTTTTTGTTAGAAGAAGTTTTGTTTTGGAGTTTAATGTTACTGTTGTATAACTGTTTTTACTGCAGGACCTGGTTGTTCATCAATGGGAGGTGGTGCATTTACAGAATTGGGACCATTTTTTCCAAGGGGTGATGGAAGAGGTTTAAGGGTTAATTCAAAGTCATGGAATAGAGGTTGAAATTTGGACTTTATATTAATGCAATTCATGTTATGTTGATGAATTATGCAATAGTTTTAAGACCTTTGTTGTGATATTACTTGTGAATTTGTTACTTTTTAGCGTCGAATCTACTCTTTGTTGAATCGCCTGCTGGTGTGGGATGGTCGTATTCAAACACATCGTCTGATTATAATACCGGGGATGCAACCTCTGGTATGGACTAGAAAACATTTGTTTGATGCTAAATTTTGGTTGAATTTTCTGGCTCTGCAAGTATTAGGCCTGTTTCTGATGTTTTGATATTTAACTTATATTGCAGCTAAGGATATGCTCAAATTTCTGGTGAATTGGATGGTCAAGTTTCCTGAATTTAAATCCAGGGATCTGTATCTTACTGGGGAGAGTTATGCAGGTTTGTTCATTGCATAACTCGCACTTATTTAGTTGTTTTTGTAGCAGGAAAATTTTTAATGAATTATCTGTTTGCACTGTACAATTACATAGTTGGGATTGTATTAGATGAGAAGTTTTATGATAATTTTGTTGTCCTAGTTTGTACAAATCTTTCCTTGATCTAATTACTAAGTATTTTAGTTGTAAATTGAACTCGTATACTCAAGTTGCCTTATCTGTAGCAATACTCAAGAACAAAGTCTAATATTCTGGTTTTCGTTCAAAGCTAACTTGTCTGTTACATTCCTGCTGTCTTACTGATGTTGCTGTTAGATTTCTGACATTATCGACGTTTATACTGCAGGGCACTACATACCACAACTGGCTGTTGCTATATTGGATCATAATGCTCAATCAAAGGCCTCCAAGCTCAACTTGAAAGGAGTTGCTGTAAGTAGTGCAGTTTCTTCTTGTTGAGTCCCTTAGGTTTTGATTGATAGTTTTGAATGATGACAAACAGCTAAGGGAAACAGGTCCTTGAAAGTGTTCGATACAGTTGGGGAACCAGCTAACATAGAACACTGTTTCCCCAGACAAGTTATTACTTACATGAGTTTTCTTATTGAACTAACTTGTCTTTATACAGGGAACAGTTATATGATAAAAGTGTTATGTACTGGTAGGGAACCAGTATGTACTGTTTCCATGGTTGCTATGTGGTAAAGCAGTCACATACTCTTTATTGTGCATTAACCATGTTACATGTGCAGTAGTTGAGTTGATTCCAAGACTTGGAGCATAGAAGCCTTTCGAAGATATTTCGAAGAAAGATTGTTTGCTCATAATAGAAGTATTCAAGGAAGATTCAAGTCTTGAAGATTACATGAAGAAAAGACGATTTATGCTTTAATATGTTATCTAGGTTTTCATGTAATATGCTCCGTAGTATGCTTGCATGTTTGGGTTATATAAGTGCTTAAAAGTATATTGAAGTATGATATGAAATCTGGTACAAAGTTGGAACAGGTTTCATAACATGTTTCAATTCAGGGAACCAGGTCGGGGAACCAGGTTCACTGTATTCGAGCTGCCGTTTTGGAAAAAGATTTTACAAAAAGATTTTTTCGAAAAGATTATCTTGAAAATATTTTGTGCAGCTGGAAATAAGATGAAATATTCTTGGTTACCTAAAATCTAGGAGTATTTATCTTAATTGATTCTATCTTTGTGATTAAATCAAATAAGATAAAAACTTTCCTAAAATTACATTATATCTTATTCTCTAAGATTGTGTGATTTAAGGAAACTAGGTTTTAGGAATCTAAGCTTATATAAACTCATCTTATTTCACATATTTCGTGTGCCTCTCCAGAAATTAAAAGAGCAATTATTTGAGAGCATATACTTAAGCACTAATCTCATTCATCAAGTCATATACAAGAGCATTCTAGTATTTAAACTTTTTCTCTTAATTAGCTTCGTAGAAGTGAGATCAAAGGAGAGTTTTTGATTCTTGTATTGAGTCTTTAACAAAGGGGTTAAAGGCTGGGTGAGTGTTTGTGAGTTCAAACACATTGGGCTTACGAGTGTAAGTCGAGAGCACACTCGGAGTAGAGTGTGGGGTTTGCTGGTTCCCGGAGTAGGGAACAGCAGAGTGTTCTTTGTCTTTGTTTTTCGGAGTAGATTAATAAAGAACTTAGGATAGGAGGACGTAGGCCTGAGTTGGCTGAACCTCGTTAAATTTGTTGTGTTCTTTATTGCTTTGTTTAGTTAAATTTGTTGTCTTCTTTATTGCTTATTTATATTCCGCTGCGTACGGGAACCAGCACAACTGGTTCCTCACACATAATCCGAAAAGAAGCAAAATTAGCCAACGATTACTTAACACTCAATTCACCCCCCCCTCTTGAGTGCCCATTGAACCTTCAATTGGTATCAGAGCCTAAGCTTCTCGAAAGAGTAACATCTAGAGGAGTTAAGAATGAGTACTCAAGAATTAAGTGCAATCGGTTATGACAACAAGTCACCCAAGTTTAATGGAAATAATTATGCTTGGTGGAAGAACAGGATCCAGAATGTTATCATGGGTATTGATTATGAATGCTGGCTCGTAGTTAAAAATGGTCCTAATATCATTCTCAAGACAGATGTTGAGGGGAACCAGGTTCCCAAGAAGGATAGCGAATTGGTCATTGCTGATTACAAGTTGCTGGAAAAGAATGCTAAGGCAATGTCAATACTACAACAAGCAATAGGTGAGACCGAAACAAATCGTATCTCTGGCTGTAGTAGTGCTAAGGAGATATGGGACACCCTTGAACTTGCGTTTGAGGGAACCAGCGAGGTAAAACGGTCTAAAATTGATTTAATCATGTCTAAATATGAATTGTTTGCCATGAATAAAAATGAAAAAATCAATGATTGCTTTCGTAGGTTTATGACTATTGTAAATGATCTTAGATCTCTTGGTAAAAATTTATCTGACGAGGATCTTGTGAGAAAATTATTGCGTAGTTTAACAGATGCATGGACAGCCAAGGTAACAGCAGTATACGAAGCAAAGGATCTGTCTACCTTGTCTCTGGAACAGCTGATTGGTTCCCTTATGACTCATGAGATGCTGATTGACTCTAAGTCTGAGAAGGAACCAGCAAGAGGCATGGCGCTTAAGGGAACAGTAGAAGATGATGAAGATGAAATTAGCATGATTGCAAAAAGATTTGAGAGATCTCTTCGAGATCAAAGAAAGAATTTCAAAGGTAAGCATTTTAAAAACTATAAAAAATCTAACTCTAATTCTTCTTCTACAGGATGTTTCAAGTGTGGAGAAAAAGGACATCTTATTCGAGATTGTCCTAAGTGGAATGACAAACAGTCTAAATCCGGAGATAAACAAGCATACAAGAATGCCATGATAGCTTCCATGTGGGGAGACTCTGACTCAGGGTCAGATGAAGAAGAAGGATCACCCAACTCAGATGTTTGCCTAACTGCCTTTACAAACATCAAGGAAAACAGCACTGGTCCAGGAACCAGAGGGGGAACCAGTACATTCAACAAATGCTTTATGGCAAAGAAGGATGTACTACATGAACGCAAGGTAAGCTTAGAGCAAATTAGAGAAGATATGCATGAATATGATAGAGAAAATATGCTTGCTTGTATTGATTCCTTACTAGATGAATGCTATAAACTAAGTGAAACATACATAACTTGCAAAAGAGAATTAAAAGAAAAACGTGGTGAATGTAATATTGCTATTGCTAGTTGTGATCATCTAGAAGGAGTCTGTTATGAACTAAAAAATCAAGTAGCAGAACTAGAGGTTGAATTGGACAAGTGTAAAGTGGAACTAGAAAAGGAAAGATCGTTTGAACCAATTGATGGAGAAGAGGATCTGACCTCCTGGTTCCCTAGAGACTTATCAACCACTAGTGATACTCTTGATTTTTCAGTAGCTATAAGTAAAGCAAATTCGTGTACTAGAACTTCCTTGTTGAAGGCCTTTGAAACATTGGCTTACAACCTGGAAAACTCTCACAAGGAAATTGCTTCACTTAAAGCTGCACAGTTCACTGTTTCCCCTACAGGTACCAGTGTAGATGTCAGTAATACGATTGATAAGTATGAAAGTAATATTTGTGATTTGCATGCGGAAATCAATCAACTGAAAAAGGACAAGCAACCAGTGATTGTTGACATGTCTATTGACTCTATGGTTTCAAAACTTAATCTACAATTCGAAGCTTTAAAAAGTAACTTTGATTTTCTTAAAGAGAAAAACGAATTGTTAACTAAAACACTTGAAACCAGAGAAAAAGAACTTAATGATAGTCATAGACATGTGGACAAATTATTGAATGCTCAAGAATCCTTAAATTACCTGACTTCATCAAGAGGAAACAGAGGAAAAGTTGGTCTTGGTTATACTAGACAGAGAACCAGGACTAACTGGTCTCCCAGAGAAACCACCTGGATCAAAGAATATCAACGAGGCAAGTATGTCATGACTAAAGAAATGCATGTGTGTTTTCATTGTGGTAAAAATGGACATAAGATACATGAATGTCCAGCTAAGAATATTAGTGCTAATAAGAACAGCAAGGGTGTAAAATATGTGTGGAGAAGAAAGGATCAACAAGATGTTAATGTTGTTGAAAAGGGACCCAAGTATGTTTGGGTTCCTAAAACTAATGTTTGATTTGCTCTTGCAGGCTAGAGTGAAGGGAGACACCTATTGGTATTTGGACAGTGGTTGCTCAAGACACATGTCCGGGGATAAAGATCAATTCCTTTCACTAGTGGCCTTTGATGGAGGAAGTGTCACCTTTGGGGATAACAACAAGGGAACCATCACTGGTTTAGGTAAGGTTGGTAAGACACTTTCTAACGCAATAGATGATGTTTATTATGTTGAAGGCTTGCAACATAATCTCTTGAGTATTTCTCAATTATGTGACAAAGGTAATATAGTTGAGTTTCAAGCCAACCTATGTCACATAGTTAACTCACAAACAGGAGAACTTGTATGTGAGGGAACCAGGAAGCATGATGTTTACATTACCTTCTTAGATAAAATCCCTCAAGACAAGTCCATCTGTTTGAGAGCTGTTTCTGACAATAATCAATGGATTTGGCATAAGAGGTTTGGACATGCTAGCCTAACACTTCTAAACAAACTTAAAACACGTGACTTAGTTGTAGGCCTTCCTAACATTAAGTATGAAGCTGATAAAGTTTGTTCTGAATGTGTAAGGGGGAAACAGGTCAAAAATTCTTTTAAGTCTAAAACTGTTTTGAGTACCAGCAGACCCTTCGAACTTGTACACATTGATTTGTGTGGTCCCATGAGAGTACAAAGTCGAAGAGGTCATAGATATGTCTGTGTTATGGTTGATGATTATTCCAGGTACACTTGGGTAATGATGTTACACACAAAGGATGAAACGTTTGAAGAATGGGTAACATTGGTGAAACAAGTGGAGAACCAGCTCACCCACAAGCTGGTCTCGGTAAGATCAGACCATGGTACTGAATTTGAAAATGCTAACTTTATTGATTATTGTAGGGAACATGGAGTTAATCACAACTTCTCAGCCCCTAGAACACCTCAACAGAATGGTGTTGTAGAAAGGAAGAATAGAACTCTTGAGGAGATGGCGAGGACGATGCTCATTGAGAGTGGTCTCCCAAAGAGTTTTTGGGGAGAAGCTGTTGACACTGCTTGCTATATATTGAATAGAGGTCTCATTAGACCAAAGTTAAATAAGACTCCCTATGAACTGCTTAAAGGTCGAAAGCCCAACATTACATATTTTCGCATTTTTGGATGTAAATGTTATGTGCATAATAATGGGAAGGACCAGCTTGATAAATTTGATCCTAGAAGTGATGAGGGAATCTTCCTTGGATACTCTTCTCACAGCAAAGCATATAGAGTCTTTAATAAA